ACAGGCAACAAATGGTACATTCATAACCTAATCGACTTTCTAGTTGTTTATGTAATAAAATCATAAAAACTATACCAAAATACATGACCAAAGTTTGTTCCCTTGCTTCAAGATAAAGCAAAAACAAGCATATCCTCCGCCACTCAAACGTAGCAAAAAAAAAATCTTGAACTAACTGAAATAAAATACGTGTGGTGGCGGCAAAGAGCAGGTTTGATGGACAGAAAGTTCATATCGTCAGACGAAATTGAAAAATATGTAACTGGTGCCGTTGAGAATCTAAATAATTTGTTATTTTCAGAGTCCGGATGAATCCGATTCAGTGTCAGTTTCGAATCCAGATCCAATCCGGTAACGGAAAATCATGAAAGTCGCAAATATTTTCAAGAATTTGGCAAAAAAGCCCTTGTTATAGGCACCACAAGCTTTTGTTTATTGCCGTCTTCTCCGACATCCATTAGCAGCTATTTATAGGCACTAGTTTCAAGTAATACCATGCAGATGTCGGTCTATTTATAGCGTATAGACAAGCTCTGTTCAATTAGACTCCGTGATTTTCTACTAACCCTAACCAGCATTGTAGTGCGTTCAATGTACGAGTAGCTTGTCAGAAGGTGTTTGACTTCATTCTGATAATGTCATCTGAACCGTTTGATCTTCGCTGGACTAATGAAACATGGTAGGTTTAACATCATGTCAACGTAACATCATCGCTTCTTGTTGACCGGAAAACTTTGCCTCCAGCTCCTAAACAACAAGGAAACCAACCTATGATCACAGAAAAATTCGCTTGTGCAAGCTTAATTATCTGTTGATAATGCATAGTCAACTTTTATATTTAGTTTTCGTGTTAGATTGCAACCATTATTAAAACCGTGAATCCGAGAATTCTAAAGTTTGCTACGGAGAATCCGATTACACAACCCAACTAACGTTTTCACGGAATCAGTTGGAATAGTTTGAAACAAAAAACTCCAGTTGTTCAGTAACGGATTATCGACTGTAATAGAAAGCAGTCGAGGTGAATGAAATACATAGCGTCATGTTGAAACCAAGTTTTCTGCTATTATAATAATGATAGATATGGACAAATCCTCGGTTCTACTTTATTAAAAAAAGGGTAGGCTATTTGCTAGATGATTTGCACCACACTATTTATTTTGGAATGTTCATTATTTTACAAATCAATGAATAACATTAAAGTTCAACCTTTAGATCAGCAAGACTAGAAAATGGTTGAATCATCTATCGCAAAGTTAATGAGATCTGTGTGAATCATAATTAGTCTTTGTTTTATGTCAGCTCTAATGAATGTTTGATATATATTGTATATGCAATCGAGGAGTCGTTTTGAAACCTCCGACTTAGTCTAAGATGAAAATCCACCAAGCATATTTTATTAAAGGATGTCTCTGTGATTTCTCATATTTGTTCGTATCGCAGTGCCCTAAGGTAGAATAATTACTATCTGAACAATTCCAATCAATACCGAACGAGTTTTAGGATATTTATTATGAAATATTAGTTTTAAATTTAAAATTCGAAAATTCGAGCAAACCAATAAGCAAAGAGCAATTCATATTTATCCATTTGAATCATTTAATAAGATAAATTTTTTTTTATTTTACAGTGATTTCATCTAAGAACTAACTAACTAATATCAAGGAAGAACATGAATATAATTACTATAATTTGTTTGTTGTTTATTTCTGAGATAACTGCAAACTATAGGCCAAAAGAAGAATTCGTACATTCGGAATTCGTTGAACGATTCGATGATTTGTTAGTTACAACATTTCTTCATTTCTAATTTGAATATAATTTTTTTAAATAATTTGTTTTGTGCAAAGATATCTCTGATTGAAGCAAGTAAGTTCAAATTTCTCAAACTAGAGGGATTCGTGTCAAAAAAAAAATTCCCGGAATGTGATCGAATAAGGTTCGATTATTATTGAATTATAGTTTTGTCTTCAAATTCTAAAATGAATAAATTTGATATCTCATTTGAAAAGTTATAATCCAATCTGTAAGCGATTGTTAACTTATATACTCAATATCATTTAAAATTTTATTCGAAAGTCAACAACACATGGTAGATATAATTTTTTCCGGGAGAATGAAAACTGATAACGCGGCTCAATCATGTAACAGGTCGCATTAGTTGCGTCAGCATACCTTGGGTACAATACTGGCAGTATCTTGTCGTTAAACTTGATGTTGTTACGATTCTGACTTATTCAATTACCCAGATATACTTGCTGCCCAGACGAATTTTGTTTCGCGGATGGTGATGAAAAACACTCAACTTGCGGAGGTAGGAAATGTACTCACATATCTTGTATGCGATGAATCATAATGATGGTTTGAAACACATACCCCATTTTACAGGCGCCAACTCGCAAAAGCAATCTTAAAACAGCTCTGAAAATTTGCAAGGGTAAAGTATAGAAAGAATTGTTCGCGGGTCAAAGGTTGGGGAAAGGGTCATATGCATATACAGTTAATTATATATAGAACGCCAAAATCATATTCTATATATATTACCAACTGAATATACTCATACAGCCATTCGTGTGATATATGTACAAATCCAATATCATGTGCCTAAACGACTAACTCAATTTGCATATACAGCCATAAAAGTAAAGGTGCGTTCACACTGGATGCGACGCGCCGCGTCAGCGCCTATGGTCGCGCGACACAGGTGTTTACACTGCGCGCGTCATTTTTCTATCACTCGATGGCGCCAGGGGCGGTAGCTTAGAAACATAGAAGCGGCAAATTTAGTCAGGAATTTCGGTAATTATAAACAGAACAGAACAGCGAATATAATTGAAAATATCATATTGTTACCAGGACAATTGAGGTTGATAAATATGGAGATACCAATACAAGATACTGTAGTCACACATCACAAATACGAAGCCGGGAAAATGAAAGTTTTTGAGGTATTATAACATCTTCCGAATTTCGAAAATGCAATTTTTATACAACAAAAGATGATTGTTGCCGGCACTCTTGTGACACAGCAACGAATATTTCGACACACACAGCGTGTTCGTATTTAAGGTTATACCACAATGATCATTTTCTACTACCTTGCACTAAATTAGCCTCCTCTTTGTGAAGTTCTGATTGGGCTCTTAGTTTCGACCGTTCAAAGGGTTTCGATGGGAGCTTGCACAATAGCGTAAAGCAGCGTTTTCCAATCTGTGTTCCGCGGAACACTAGTGTTCCTCGAGTGTCCTGTGGAAAAGGAATCAAAAATACGTCTAAATTGGTCGCCACGGCGATCTCGCGATCGTAAGACTGTCGCCCAGCTGACCGTTCAATATCGCATCACCGTCGGCCTAAAGCGGACTAACTAAGGTAGGGCAGTGGCATTTTCTCGGCTTAGCTTTTTGACTCTTAAGTTCATTATCAAGTTTACAGCAATCCTTTTGGTTTTGCCATAGGCAAACAAGTAGGACTGAAGAATAAAGGCAATGGGTTAACTCTTCGTCCTCCATCTCTGCCTGGTTTCACTTTGAAATGCTGAAAAATTACTCATGTTCGCTAAACTCAATTCAGCATATAAATAAACTGCAGGTCTGCATTTCACGAAATTGTAGCAAGTACTTCTATCTCCATTAGACGTAATATTAGAGTCAAACACAACCCAATGGAAAGTAAACGACATAAAAAGGTGAAACGAATTTATTGATTCATATACACAGAACTCAAATTGAGCAACAATAAAACATTCATAATAACTTCAATATGTAAAATGTTCAATCATATTTTAGGTATGTTCAACTAATTCTGTTAGTTTTTGAGGTGCATTTGGCAACTCGCCACGGCGAATCAATTGGGAACCGCTACATTACACCGTTTTTCTTTTATCCATTTTACCCTTTCATTTTTTTGTGTTCCGCGAGGCGAGATCAAAGATGTAAGTGTTCCGTGGCCAAAATAGTTTGGGAAACGCTGGCGTAGACGTTCGTAGACGTAGATAGGCCCGCAAAAGTTAAGAAGCACTGCTCTAGGTTAAATGCATACTGGATGTGCATAGTCGTTTATCACGTAAAAATCTTGTTGTTCTGTAATTATTTTTCACGTCATTTCATATTGTATATCGCATTTCAGTGAAGTTTGGATTTTAGAAAAAAATTACATCAGTAGACACAGTAAAAAAAAATTTTACCCAGGAAATAAAGCAGAAGTATCCAGTCTTTAGAAAAGATAGCACTGATAGCGAAGCGGAGTGCACTACTTGCGGATAAAGGCAAGGTTAGATTACAGTTGCACGTTGACAAGACAAAATATCAATATTGCATTGCCGTCACTTCGTCTATTGTCACTTCTATATTTTGAGCCATGAGAATTTAGTAGATAGATAATGGAATATTCTGAGATACTGTTGACATATGGTTCTACCGAATGATGTGTCCTCCATTTTGGGCTTGGAAATATGGTCACCCTAAATAAAGTTATGTAACAATAAAACTTAATGCCATAGGCATATACATTTAATGTAATAGACATCGACATTCATTTAAGTAATATACATACACAGCCCTGGTCATATAGTCAATTGAGTATACAAGTACAATCACTAAAGTGATGTGTATACAAAAGCCAATTCCATATGCATATACATCCAAATTATAGGCTAGGCGATGTGGCGCATCGTTCTAGGCGTTATGTATACGCTCGCCATCGCACCTCTGACTACCCTGCATGGGTTTGCAGATTCGAACCCTATGTGGGGGTTAATTATGTGCCAGAGGAACTTATCGATTCCGTATGGTGGGTTCAAGAAACCGCTGGTCGCTTACGGCTCACTATACCATCAAATCTTCGTGTAAATAAGCCGACTTATCGGCTTCCCTCGTCCCCGGGATAAATATGCAAATCCTATCTGATTCATATACATATGGAGTCAACCAAGTATACATATTAAGTTAATTCAATATTCTCATGCCACCGATGTAATATACAGCAAACTCAAGATATTATACAGTCAGTAAAGCTTTACTTAAATGATGCACTGTAAGAACAATGCCTCAAGGAACTGACAGAAAGCACAGGTTTGTATATTTAAAACTGTTACTCGTGGAAAGCTCTATTACTCTATACGCCGTTGAAAGGTTTTCCTTGAAAGAGATTTGTCAGTAGATAAAATTTGACAGGAAAATATAATTTATTATGCTCAAAAGAAATAAGTGTTGCTTGATAAATAAGTAAATATTCCCATCAAGATAAACTTGTGGTAAATGAACAGATATAAAACCGCTGATTGCAAACAAATGAACGCTTATTTGAATATGGATAAATGTATTTGGAGAATCCGACTACACAAACAAGCCAACGTTCGTTCTAACGGAATCAGTTAAAATAATTTCAAAATAACCCCCAGTCGTCCAGTAACAGATTATCAACTGTATTTTGAAATGGAAAGAATGAAAAGCAGTCGAGAGGATTCAAATACATAGCGTCATGCCGAAACCTTCTTTTCTACTATTAAAATGACGTGAATAAACAAATAATCGGTTTTACGAGCGAGTTTTCGATAAATAACTTTCATAAACTATATCTTCTGTAAAATTTATTTTTGATTCTCCATGAGTTTGCAAATCAAGGAACTAATCTTGATGTCCAACTTTTAGATCTGCTAGTATAGCATAAAATGGTTGAATTATCCATCGTGGAAAAGTGACGTTAATAAGATATGTGTAAATTTGCTACAATCTTTGTTTAATTCCAGATATGATAAATGCTTAAATAATATATATTGTATATGCACTCGAGGCGTCGTTTTGAAACTTTCCGCAACTTAGTCTAAGATGAAAATCCACAAAGCATATTTTAATACGGGATGTCTGTTAGATTCCTCATATTTGTTCCCAACGCAGTGCCCTAAGGTATTCCGCTACATTAATTACAGTCTAAACAATTCTAAACAATATCGAATGAGTTTTTGAATATTTATTATAAAATATCAGTTGTAAATTATAAATTTCGGAATTGTATTGAGCAAAGTAATAAAAAATTGAGCAATATATATTTATTCGTTCAAATCATTTGATGAGAAATATATTTGTTTTATTTGACAGTGATTTCATCTTAAAACTAACTTATGTCAAGGAAGAGCATGAATATGATTACTATTATTTGTTTGCTGTTTATTTCTGAGATAACTGCAAACTATACGCCAAAGCAAGAATTCGTGCATTCGGAATTCTTCAAAAGATTCGACAAAAAGGTTTGTTAAATAACACCATTTCTTCATTTCTAATTTCAATAATACATTTTAAATTATATTTTGTTCTTTGCAAAGATATCTTTGATTGAAGCAAGTAAGTTCAAATTTCCGAAACAAGAGGGATTCGTGTCAAAAGAATACCCGGAATGTTATCGAATAAGGTTTGATTATTATTGAATTATATTTTTGTCTTCAAATTCTAAAATAAATAAATTCTTCATAATAGTTGGAAAAATAAAATCCAATCTGTAAGCGATTGTTAACTTATATACTGAATATCATTTGAAATTTTATTTGCAAGTCAACGTATGGTAGATATGATTTTTTGATTTACTGATTTATTTTTTGATTTTTGAATGAAAGCTGATAACGCGGCTCAATCATGCAGCGAGTCGCATAAGTTGCGGCGGCATAACTTGGGAACAATACTGGCAGTATATTGTCGTTAAAAAATTGATTTTGTTACGATTCCGATTTATTTAATTACCCAGATATACTTCCGGCCCAGACAAATTTTGTTCCGCGAACGGTGATGAAAAACACTCAACTTGCCGAGATAGGAAATGTACTCATATATCGTACTATGGTTCGACAAATTGTAATCCACAAGTGAAATTGTTCAAACCTTTCAAACACTACGGTATTGAGTGCAAGTAAGTACAAGTCATATAATGGAGTACTGAAACAATTGGTATTTGATAAAAGTTATTAAAAAATAACGTTTGAACAGGAAGCCAAATGAATTTTGTCACGGTGGCGAAATTAACGATGGACGAGATAATGTCTTGTATCCAGACCCGCACAGATCACACGATTTAATTGATGATTCTTGCGAATGTCAAACTATCTGGTGCTTGGATGAAATTATGACAATTTACGAAAAAGAAGGCAAATTGTTCGAAGGAAACGTCACAGTGAAGGTTTGTTTACGTTTATGACGATTTTTCTAAAATTCTCAAAACAGTTCATTCATTATAATATTTTTAAATTTGTAAATGTCCATTCAATGAATACATTCGAATTCGGGTTCAAAATAATTTTAATAATTATTTGAAGACAAATATCAACCACCATTTTGCAATATTGCTCAAAGTAATTAAGAATCGGTTTGAAACGTTAATAAAAAATATTCATCTTAAGCAATTTCATCAATTAATAATTATAGAAAATGTTAACCCATAAACGAATAATTTTTGCTTGTCTTGATTGATTTTATATCACGTATTATTTATCACAGACTCCGTGCAAATGTGAATGCAGAAGGAGATTCATTATGATGGGACCTTATGGCGGCGGCAAATAATATTTTTTATATACAGATATTCGATCCTTATCAAACAAATTTATCTGCCTTTCATTGCATTGGACATACGTAAAATATATGGATCTAAGAAAAACATAATTCTACCGTTTTTTTTTTATTCTGCGGGCTAAAGGATTTAGTGATAGCAGTGTATGAAAATGTCGAGTGATTCCATCGTTGTTAGTCGCAATCAAAGTAATTCGACTTATTCAATTTTTCCGTGTCTTTGGGTACCGTACATTGTTATTGAATGATCAATTTTGTATGATAAATGTTAGTTTGTTCGCGTACTTCTGGGAGACTTCTACAACAACACTGCATTGTTAGCATCAAAACTACTACACTAAAGTCATTAGCTAACCCATTCACTCAAGCAACGTCATATATTGAACAGACTGAAACCCTGGTTTATGCGATTGGAACATCACTGAGGTTGCAATGAATGAATGCCGTTTATCCGGTATAAATGTACCGATATCAGCCTGGCCTAACCTAAACCAGTACCAAGAAAATCAGCTAATAATAGCTATGGCAGGAGACGACAATAAACAATTAGGTTCAAATGCGTTGCATACAACGTAGAATTCTCCCCGAGGTTATCACAACTCTCAGCAAAAAAAAATTGCTTTTGGCTTTGTCATGCATTCGAAAATTCTAATATTGTTTGGATACTTACGGAGGTTTATTGGAATTTATCACTTGGATTAATTGTATAATAATATACATCAGAACAGAAATGAACCAACCTTAATCAAGCAAATTTCCTCCTTCGGCCTCCGTTTATACGTTCAATTGCCACAGAAGGAAATAATAACACCACATGTTCAAGTTCTTCCTTGATATTAGGTAGTTGTTTCTTAGCTAGATCTATTAAAAACATTATGAAGCAAGAAAAACTTTGTTTCTCGTATAGAATGATTTCACAAACTATATACAAACATAAAAATTTATGTTTGATGACCACATTCCCGATAACAGCAAATGTCAAAATTGTTTCGTTTATGCCACTCTCATATTCTCGCTTGAGATGGGTTCTGAATGAATGAGGTATATTCGTCAAAAAAAATCTATTTGTATGCTTAGCTGAGGAAATAATTGTTGATTTGTAAACAAACGTTATCATATTATTAGAGAATTCTGTAGCAAATTAAACAGATCAAAATCGCTGGCTGGAAAAAGAAACAGTTTATCAAAAATTTTCTTGAATAAGGATTGTGGTATTTTTGTATAAAGTCGTGAAGTTTATTAACATTACATCATCCCTAGTGGTATTCTTCAGTACCATAATATCCAAACAATATAGGAAATTCCTGAAGTACATCAAGCTCTACATCAAGTGTATATCCATCCATACAAGTGATGTACATGCAAATCTAAGTGTCATATACGTATATATTCAACTTAATATGCATATACAGTCAATTATGTATATATAGAATGCCAAAAACCAATGTCATATGCATATACAGTCAAGTCATATAAATATAGAGTCAAATATGCATAAACATGCCATTAGCCATTCGAATATGCATATAAAGCAAACTTATATACAAAGAGAGTCAAGCAACTTTGCATGTACAGCCAATTTCATATTCATATATAGCCAATATCACATACACACACTATTTAAACTCAATTCTATGTACATAGGCATTCATTTAATAAAGTAATGTACAAATAAAACTCAATCTCATAGAGAATCTCATATAGAGTTAATGTAATATACATGTATATCCATTAAAGTAATATACATCCACAGCCATGGTTATATAGTCAATTGAGTATACAATACAATCACTAAAGAGATGTGTATACAAAAGCCAATTCCATAGGCTCGACTAGGCGGTGTGCGCATCGTTCCAGGCGTTAAGAATACGCTAGCCACCGCACCTCTGATTACCCTGCGTCGGTTCGAATCCAATGCGGGGGTTAATTATGTTCCAGGGGAACTTCTCGATTCCGTATGGTGGGTTCAAGAAACCGATGGTCGGTTACTTCTTCCTATACTATTAAGTCCATATCTGGCTAACTAATTCCATACCCGACATGGACTGGTAACCGGACGAGAGCCGTGTACCTTCATGTGAATCAGCCGACTTCTCGGCTTCCCTCTCCCCCGGGATAAATATGCAAATCCTATCTTATCCATATACATACTGAGTCAACCAAGTATACATATTAAGTTAATTCAATATTCTTATGCCACCAATGTAATATACAGCAAACTTAATATATTATACAGTCAGTAAAACTTTACTTAAAAAATGCATTGTAATAACAATGCCTCAAGGAACTGACAGAAAGCACAGGTTTGTATATTTAAAACTGTTACTCGTGGAAAGCTTGTGGTTTCCAACCACTTGTGCTCTATACGGCTTTGAAAGTTTTCCTTGAAAGAGATTTGTCCGTAGATAAAATTTGACAAGGGAATATAATCATGTATGCTTAGATGAAATAAGTGTTGGTTGATAAACAAGTAATTATTGCCATCAAGATAAACTTGTGGTAATTGAACAGATATAAACGTTTAGCTAATTATGAATAATTGTATTTGGAGAATCCGACTACACAACCAAACCAACGTTCTTTCTCGCGGAATCAGTTAAACGAATTTTGAAATAATCCCCAGTCGTCCAGTAACAGATTATCAACAGTATTTTGAAATGAAAAGCGGTCGAGAGGATTCAAATAGATAGCGCCATGCTGAAACCTTCTTTTCTACTATTAAAATGACGTAAATAAACAAGTAATCGGGTTTACTTAAAAAACGAGCGAGTGTTTGCTAGATAACTTGCATAAACTATATCTTCTGTAAAATTTATTTTTGATTTTTCATGATTTTGCAAATCAAGGAACTGAACTTGATGTCCAACTTTTAGATCTGCTGGTATAGCACCAAATGGTTGAATTATCCATCGTGGAAAAGTGACGTTAATGAGATCTGTGTAAATTTGCTACAATCTTCGTTCAATTCCAGATATGATAAATGCTCAATGTATATTGTATATGCACTCGAGGCGTCGTTTTAAAGCTTTCCGCAACTTAGTCTAAGATGAAAATCCACAAATCATATTTTAATACGGGATGTCTGTGTGATTCCTCATATTTGTTCGTAACGCAGTGCCCTAAGGTAATCCGCTAGATTATTTACAGTCTGAACAATTCCTATCAAGATCGAACGGGTTTCAGTATATTTATTATGAAATATTAGTTGTAAATTTAAAATTTGAACAAACCAATAAAAAATTGAGCAATTTATATTAATACGTTAAAATCATTTGATGAGAAAAATATTTGTTCTCATGTCACAGTGATTTCATCTAAGAACTAGATAACTAATATCAGGGAAAACATGAATATAATTACTGTTATTTGTCTGCTGTTTATTTTTGGGATAACTGCAAACTATACGCCAAATGAAGAATTCGTGCATTCGGAATTCTTTGAACGATTCGACAAAAAGGTTTGTTAAATTACACCATTTCTTCATTTCTAATTTGAATATAACATTTTAAATTATATTTTGTTCTTTGCAAAGATATCTCTGATTGAAGCAAAAAACTTCAAAATTCCGAAACAAGAGGGATTCGTGTCAAAAGAATACCCGGAATGTGATCGAATAAGGTTTAATTCCTGTTGAATTATATTTTTGTCTTCAAATTCTAATATAAATGAATTTGATATAATATTTGAAAGGTAATAATCAAATCTGTAGGCAATTTTTAACTTATATACTTAATATCATTGAAAAAAAATTTGAAATTCAACGCATAGTAGATATGATTTTTATATTTACTCCGGGAGGATGAAAGCTGATAACGCGGCTCAATCATGCAGCGAGTCGCATAAGTTGCGGCGGCATAACTTGGGAACAATACTGGCAGTATATTGTCGTTAAAAAATTGATGTTGATTCGATTCCGATTTATTTAATTACCCAGATATACTTCCAGCCCAGACGAATTTTGTTCCCTGCATGGCGATGAAAAACACTCAACTTGTGTAGATAGGAAATGCATTCACATATCGTACTACGGTTCCACAAAATGTAATCCACAAGTCAAATTGTTCAAACCTTTCAAACATTACGGTGTTGAGTGCAAGTAAGTGCAATTTTGAATAGTGATAAAACAATGGGTAATTGTTTAAGGCAAATATAATATAAACTTTATAACAGGAAGTCGAAGAAAGCGTGCGGTAACTACAAAACGAACTATATTCAAGAGAATGTCTTGTATCCAGACCCGCATGGATCGAACGATTCAGGTGATGACTCTTGCGAATGTCAGACTATCTGGTGCTTTGGTGAAATTATGACAATTTACGAACAACGCGGCAAATTGTTCAAAGGAAACGTCACAGTGAAGGTTTGTTTACATTTATGGCGATTTTTCTAAAATTCTCAAAACATTTTATCAGATTGAATTTGTATTTAGTATTTATTATACTCATTTTGAATTTATAAACCTCAATTCAATAAATACATTCGAATCCGGGTTCAAAACTATTTTCTAGTAATTATTTTCTATAATATCTCTCGCCATAGTTTGAAGACTAATATCATCTAACATTTTGCAATATTGCTTGAAGTAAATAAGACTTGGTTTGAAACTATAATAAAAAATATCAATTTCATGCAAATTCATCAATTAATATTTATGGGTAATGTTAACCCATAAATGCATAAGTTTTTGCCCGCTTTGATTGATTTAAATCACGTTTTATTTATTACAGACTCCGTGCAAATGTTAATGCAGGAAGAGATTCATTATGATAGGACATTATTTTCCAGGAAAATAATATCTTTTATATAAAGATATTTGATGTTTATCACAATCTGTATTTTATTGTATTTGACATTTGTAAAATATACGAATCTAGGTTAAAATTATTCGTCAATTTTTTCTTTCATTCTGTGGGCTGAAAATTTTAGTTAGAGGCTCCGTCGTTGTCAGTCGAAGTCAAATTAATCCGGCTAATTCAAATTTTTCGTGTCTTGGG